GCGGTGCCGTGCGTGGCTCATGGTGCCGCCGCTGCGCGGTGCCTACCGTGCGCGTGTTGCTGCCTCAACTGCTGCCGCGTGGTGTGGGTGCTCATAACACTATTGGCTTCTACGGTCTCTGTCCCATGAATGGATAGAGACCTGCCCTTCGTGGTTGGAGGATGTGTTGGCAGCGGATTGTCTTCCTTTTGTTTAGGTTTCTTTTTGTTGCTTTCTTTTTAAAAGTGCAAATACATCATATGTGCAATGCATTGCCATTACCCAATGTTAGTCCAAGCTATCTGGGGTCTTGGGACGGGTAGACCAAGTGCAGTCCTAACCTTTGAAACTTTTTCACAGAACATGCCCACCCTCACATCTTTCCATCTTCTCAAGTTACACTAGTTTCAAAAGAAAGGGCAAAAATATGCCACTTACAAGGACTACAGAGTAAAGCCCTATCTACTAAGTACTAACAAATGAAATGTATCTAAGAAGTATTAGCTTATTCCAAAAGAAATACAACGTCAGCTTTATAATTATATAAACACATGAAAGGGAAGTAGAATAGAAATAATTACAGATTTCACCATAAAAATCTTACAGCTGCAGAACCATATTTACATTACATGTCTTCATACAAGAAGTTGCATGTATTGGAAATTGCATTGTACCATCCTGTTGGAAAACCCCCTATGAAGCCTTCTTGCATTTGTACTTAGCAGCACATAAGACATAAACCAGCAAGTTCAAGAAGCTGAGGCCAGCTATGAGCAAGAAGAAGTAATCAAGATGCCCCTCATTCAAGTTATCAGGTATCCATCCAGGATTTCCATCTTTAGTTGTTACTGTTGTCACAACTGTAAGAATAAAAGAGCTTAGGTAATTACCTAATGCTGTTGTAAGGAGGGACAAGGCACTACATAGACTCCTCATTGCATCTGGAGATTGATCATAGAAGAACTCGAGCTGCCCGATGAAGGTAAATATTTCTGAAGCCCCCACTAAGACATACTGGGGTATCTGCCAGAAAATACTGATAGGCACTGCTACGTTTTGGTCCACCAGATCAAGTTCCTTTGCCAGTTGCAACCGCTTCATCTCTACTAATGCAGCAACTATCATGGACAGTATTGATATGAAGAGGCCTATACCCATCCTCTGCAACTCCGAGAAGCCTCTCTCCTTACCAGTGAACTTTCTTGCAATTGGGACAAGGATTTTGTCATAGATTGGGACCCAAACAATGACACTGATTACATCAAAAGTTGATAGAGATGCTGGAGGAATGGTGAAAGAACCAATGGATGTATCCATAACCATTCCCTGTTCCACAAACATGGTAGACATCTGTGCATAGACAGCGGAAAAAACTATACCAGTAGCCCAGATAGGAAACATGCGGATTAGTATCTTCAGTTCTTCTACCTGGGTCACAGTACAGAGCTTCCACCGATTGGAAAAGTCATCACTTTCAGATTCATGATCAGTGACCACAGAAGCTTTATCAAGACACCTGGACAGAAAGTAAAGTGTGATGATTTCTAGCTAGTTAGTCTATTAATCTAAGATTACAGAGCATCCATAAATGTTTACCACATTCAACATACAACATTAATTAAGAAAAACAAAGAAAAATATATATTTCAACATACAATACATATATGCATAAAAATGATATACATACATGTACATAGACCTGTTCATGGGTCGAGCTCGGGTTTGGCTTTTGCCAAATTTTGAATGGGGCCCGGCCTGAAGCCCAAGCCCGACACAGTGTAAGTCAGGCCTGAAGCCCGGCCCGTGAACAGGTCTACATGTACATATATGTTTATGTATAGTGGAATTATAGAACAAGTCATTTAATTATTTGTTACTTCTCTAATTCTTGCAGCTATGACACATGTATTATATACAATGTAAAATAATGCTTATTAACAGTAAGGGAATACGAGTTAAAGACCATAAAAGAATATATAGAAGTGCTTTACTTGTATATCATTTTCTTCTCAAAATCTAGCACCATAAAAGGAACAAGATGTAATTAACTAAAAATGCTCACTTTTCTTTTGAATTTGTATTACTTTGATATTGTTTAATTTCTTATAAGAGATACTTCTATATTGTTAGCATAGCAGAACACATACTACAGGAAGAAGTATAAATTCTTTTTTTTTTAGAGGTCATGGATGGCCATACATGTTTGATTAAAATCAAATAAAATTTAGAGAATACTAGGTATCCTTGTTACAAAATCCTAATTAAACTAATGCTATCTTACCAAGAAAAGGAAACAGAAAAATCAGATGCACTGCAATCAAGTTAATAAGCCATTGTATTGATCAATGAAATTGGAAGTAGAATAGAATCTAATTGGTTTTCTCAAATCCAAGGATATGTTAGAATTCAAGAAAGAAGATGAATAGGAAATATACTTGAGTTCATTGCTATGCTCCAGTTTCCGACTCCCTGCAATAGCAGAGGTTTTGTCAGGCAGTTCATATAAAAGAGAACTATCATGGGGGACCTTCACATTCCATTTCCGGAGAGAGGCAACCACAACCTGGCACATTCTTGTAATGGGGCTTCCACCTGGTTTCTGGAATCTATAAAGGGGCGTGCCTGAGAAAAAACTTATGATGGCAAGACCCATGAACAGTGTAGGTATGCCAAATCCTAGGCCCCACCCGGCATTATCTTGAATCCAAACAAGAAAACTACTTGATACGAGAGCCCCGATGTTGATAGAAAAGTAAAACCAATTGAAGAAAGACCCCTTCTTAACTCTCTCCCTTGTATCAGTATCATCAAATTGATCTGCCCCAAAGGATGAGACACAAGGTTTTATCCCTCCAGTCCCCAGTGCAATCAGATACAGACCAAAAAAGAATACAGCATACTGAGCTGGAGTTGCAGCTGGGCAAATGGACCCCACACAAGCAGGAGGCTTGAAGACAGGAACTGAAGCCGACAGAGTCAAAGTACCCATTCCCTATGCATGTGTAGAAAATATTTACATCTGATCAGTTGTGAAAGAGAAGAAGAGGATAATAAATTACATAAAGTAGTGACTAGAACAGATTAAGAGATGCAAGAATGACTGAGGTATATCATTCTCTAGAAAGTCTTTATTCCACCATCATCAAACATGGTCCATCCACAAAATGAGTCAGTGACACTAATTGAGCAGAGAGGGCCTAAAAAAACAAGGAAATTTCTAGCAGCAGAATAGAATACTGTTTTACTAACTCTTAACTTGATACTTTTCAGCCATCCATGCTTTACTTCTAAATGGACAGGTATAACTCGTATGGGCAAATAAGATTTTGCTTTTACTTTTTCTTTCTTTTCTTTTTTTTTTTGTATGTATTGCCTTCAAAAAAAGGGGCAAGGGGCAACAGGTCTCAGATAATTCATTAGGGGGCAATGCCCATTCAGGAGTCAGGACCATAAATATGAGGTTCATCACATATTCTCTGAAAGCTATCAACATCATATACCAGTAAACAATTCAATTAAACTAAAAGAAAAAGCATTCAAATGTATATTTACAATGAAGTATATTGTGGAGAAAACTGCAATAGTCCAGTATCTTCCCCAATATGCATCTGCCAAAACTGCTCCAATGAGGGGTGCAAGGTAGCAAGTTCCTTGCCAGGTGGTAACATTTCTTGCAGCAGAAGCATTTCCTTCATGTAGCTTGTTGGTGAGATAAGTAACAAGGTTGGTTGCAATTCCATAGTAAGCCAAGCGCTCACAGCATTCAGTACCTGTATTTTATTTGCAAATGTTAGAAGAAAATGGAATTTAGCACATAGGCAACAGCAATTTGGACAATGCAGAGAATTTAGTGTACCTAGAATAAAAGGACATGCTCTCCAGTTTCCAGTATTGTGCTTAAGTACTGGATTTCCATTAATGTCAACCGATCCATCTCCAGTGTATGATCCTCTAATTACATTCTAATGTAACAGAAAACGTCACATATAGGACCAGAGCAAGGTTTATAAGATAAATAATTGTAAATAGCATCAGAGACATTGATTCTTGTTCGAGCTATGGGGCTTTGTAGTGTAGTTTTTTCACATTTCAAACTTTGGTGTGCATATGTAAGAGCATGACAAAACCTACTCTCTACAGGAAAAATTATGGGGTTGACTGCATTGCAGAAGCCTGCAACAAGTTAAATTCTTCGATTATGCAACATCAAATGCATGGGTTTCATCATGGATAATTTCCTCAAAGGCAGCAGTATGTGCAGCATGCAGGATGGACCTGAAAAATAAGAAAAAGATAATAGAATAACCTAGGCTTCCCTAGGAATTAGCATCTGGACAAGCTATTAGGATTCAAAACCTAATAGTTAGCACCGTCAAGAAAACTTGGCCTCAACACCAAACAGAACAAAGCCAAAGGCAAATGTTATGTTAGTTCTCAAATTCCTCCTTGAAAACAAAAATATGAAACTTACATAGACTTATTTCCCTAACCTAATGATTCCTAATCACTTTCGAACTCATATCAATCGCTAGATCAACTTCAAAACTGTCTAAAATTCTTTAGAAATTTTCTATTTATTGGCTTGATTAATTACAAGTATGACATATTTTCTATTAACGAAACAACTTCTGAAACAAATACCTACCAAAATAAATCATAGAAGGTTAAAACTACTAGAACTTTAACTCGAAACAATTGGAGAGAGAGAGAAATCACATCATAGATTCATTGTCTGTCCATAAATTGGGCATCACTTGATCACTTTATGCCCAATTCATGAGATTTTGGACTTGTTTGATTGACATTTAAATAACCTTTCTAATAATACCAAAACCAAGACAATTGAACAAGTTTTGATACTTCGAATTCTGGATGCAAATACAGTGATTAATTAAAAATATGCCTCCCAAGTTTCAACTTGAAGCTCAAGTAATTCCGTTATAGTTTTGAATTTGAGATCCTTTGCATTCCTTATCATGCAGTCTTGGAAATCCTAGCGCCTCAGACATATGACGTATATGCCATATCATGAGGGTCTTGACCATTTATTATTGGCTCTATCGGTAATGACAACCCAATTCAGGCTAAACTACTTTCCGTAATACAAGGACTGAAATTGGAAATCATGTTTGGTTCAGGTATGTTAGATTGGATATTAAAGGGCAGTCTCAAGTTGTAATTGAGTATATGAGAAAAGAAAGTTCCATACGCTGGTTATATCTTTACCAATAATAGAGAAATGTGATCATTGGCATCCATCATGAACACCTTGTTTAGATGGATACTAGTGAAGGAACTAACAAGGAAGAATTGTGACAAAACCTGCCCTGGTGGGTTAGATTTTATTTCCTTTGTGATATGAGCTACTCCTACATCCTCTGTGATATGATTGTTTCTGATTCTGTCCCTTCAGTCTTGTCACTCATCCATCTCAACTACATTCATTTTCTAAACATGTTGCTTCTTGATTATCCAACACTTTGTCCCATATAGTAATGCCAATCTTATGATTATCTTATAAAAATTTTCTTGTAGCCTAATTGGTATGGGTCACACAGCTTACCATATGAACTTCTCCACTTCAACATCCTGCCCTCATTAGGTCTACAAATGGATCAGATTGAATCAGATATACTTAGATCCAAATTTGATTTGTAATATTCAGATTCAAATTGAATCTTGTCCATTGGATTTATATGTATGTATAAATATATGGATTCATATTCAATCCAATTATAAATGGGTTGAATTCAAACCACTCCTAATCAGATCAAGTTTGAATTCAGATTTGGACAAACAGATACCATTTGTAGCCCCAGCTCTAATTTTATGTACGAAACCCTCTTTAATTTCTCCCTTGTCATGAATGATCAATCCAAGGTATCGGAAGTGATAACCTTGGAAAAACTCTTGATCATCCATCTAAATTGCACCACCATTGTTACTAATACTTTTACTAGAATTGCAACGTATATTTTGTCTTAGCCTAGCTTATTTTGAAACCTTTTTCTATATTCTAACTTTGCATTCAGCTCATCTTTAGTCCTATCAATGAATACTTTGTCATCAAACAAATAACACAAAACATGAGACCACGTCTCCTTTAAATGCCTAGTTAGTTTATCCATAAACAATGTGAAAAAAATATGGTCTAAGTGCTGACACTTGGTATTTTCTATTGTGTCTCCCCTTCCTGAGTTCTCATATTGATTATTGCTCCTTTATACATATCCTTAATGATGTCAATATGCCCAACTTTTTTTTTGATAAGTGATGTCAAACATGCCTAATTAAAACCCCTTTCTCTCCCAAAACACACCAAGCGACTTCACTAAGGACCTTATCATATCTTTCTTCAAAATTAACAAATACCAAGTGGAGATTTCTCCTGTGTTCCCCACTTCTTATCAATCAGAATAGCTTCGGTACTTGATTTCCCCAACATGAATCCAAATCGATTTTCAGATATGCTGATTTCGTCTATTAATAATCATTGCTCAGTCACCCTTTCCCAACTTAATGAATTTGGGAAGTAAATTAAACTATCAAACCATCTGGTAAATTCATGTTAGCAAGGTGATTGATCAAATGAGTACAAATCCTCATGAGAACCAAAAAATGTAAAATAAAATAAAAAAATAAAAAAAAAACCTTCATAAATTAGAATTGGAGGGGAAACAGAACAACATCGATCTAATCATAACATGACAAAACCTTTCTAGGTCAGCCAAAAGACGATCTTTATAATCGCTGGCAAAACAACCCCTTCCTTTTCCCTTCGTATCAGCTGATATAGCAACCGATCCAAATAAACCAACAATCGAAGTAAATTAACAGCTCAAATCTCCATTTTCAACAATAAATAAATAAACACCAAACAGAAAAAAAAAATGAAGTTAAAAAATTCCGAGTAGAGATAGTCAAAGATATGAATTCAACAAACAATAAAACCAGCAAAACAGAAAGAGAGAAGTTCAAAGATGCAATTGCGCTAACCTCCTTCAGAAGCCCATCTTCCAAGAGCAAGCTATCCTCCCCTTGGGAACCCATGTCTCAGAACCAACGAAGATCACAAGATTCTTCTTCTAATCAAGATTCAACTACAATTCAGCCCGACCCACCGCAAAATAAACAAATATACCAGATGGGGGTTAGATAGGACGGGCACTATTTCCCAGATGAAAAAGAATCAATGGATGCTGAGGTAAGAAGTCAATAATTACCCGTATGAAGAAGGGTAGGCGTTTGTTGTTTTCTCATCAACTACAGAGGAATGCGACCGCTACTCGAACCAGTAAGAACTAAGGAAGTGGAAACTTACACGCCATTCTCTTTGACACGCTGTACACAAACAGTAGGGATACGGAGTAGGCAATCTCTATGATACCGAAAAGGTATCATAAGTTCATAACTGAACAACTTCAACCAATCAAAAACCCACATGAACCTGGACGGAATGGTTGCAGGTATGATACCTTTTCCGTTATCGGACTACGAACAGTAATTCTGCTTTGGTAAAACAGTGAGCTCGAATGTCCTGGCTTTAGGAGATCAGTAGTATTCAGAACCCACTTGACTGATGGACGGTTCCACCAAGAGATGAAGAGAGATTCCGATTTGATCAGTAGCTTTCGACCTTTTGTCCACCGTCCAAAATCCTAGCGGCATGGGATCACTTTTGGCCCAAGTAAGCTGCTAGGTGGGTCCATCCAATGGGATGGTTCAGAGTTTAGACATGGGAAAGTTGGGAGGGCGCCTGTTCAGAATTTAGTAAATTACAATGCTATCACAAGGTCAAAGATACAGGCTGGGCAGGGCTAGATTTTTTTTGGTAATTAGATGGAATCCAGCTTAGACCACACATGTTATAGCCCGTTTGGGAGGGCTTTTAAGTTGATTGAGCTCCGTTGACTGAGGGAAGACACTATCAAAGCAAGTTTCACCGTAAAGTTGAGTTCTCAGCTCAACTTTTGCCAACCTTCCGTGGGAGTCTACCTTGCAACACCAGAAGCGCTGAGGAAAAGCCCTTCCAAACAGGCACTAAAGTTGGGCCCGTTTGGCTGACGCTTTGGTTGAATTGGACAGAGCTGCTTTGACATTAAGACAAGGATTAAAATCTCGTAATTTATCGGTTCGTATTGGCTGATATGTATCGTATCGGAGCCTAGTATTAGAGATTAGTCATTTCAAATAGTTGGACCATTGACTTATTTGACCGAACCATTAGCTCTACAATTCACATTGTATTGAAAACCTATGAAGGCTATAACTTCGTACTTAGTTGTCTGGTGTGTCCGGAAGCACGCCGTTAAACACTCCGGAACACCAGTTTAAACATTTATAATTTTATTCTAATTCTCAAACAATTACTAACATAGTAAATGGGTGAGAACGGATCGTATCCATAGGGAAGTAAGGGAAAAATTAATGTTTTCTTAGATCCGGACAAGAGAACACAAAGGGGAGTTGTAAAAATATAAAATTAATTAATTAAAAAAATGGAATTCATTAAAACCAAATTCGAATAGTACTGGTAATAACAAGTGCATAAAAATAAATAAATAACAAAAACAAATAAATAAAAGAAACAAAATAAAAACGTCTGAGAATCTGATAAGAGGTAGTAGTTTCTGGATCTCTCCTTCCACCCTTGAACTTCTCGAGCTAGACCTTCCGTCTTACCTGGCCAAATTTCAGATCTGTAGAAAAGAAATAAAACACAAATTAAATCTAATAAAAATAAATTTGCAGGAGGAAAAATTAAACTAGAAATTAAAGAACAGAAAGTAATTCTAAAACTGAAGAAAATATGGTTGGGATTCAAATCCAGAAGTGGCAGTAGTGGTGTTGGCGAACTGCAAGTAGGAACCTCTCCTCTTGCCAGGGCGTCCTCCTCTTCCTCTACCCTTGAACTTCTCAAGATCAGCCTTCCTTCTTACCTGGGTGAATGGACTCTAAGGCCCCTAGTGTCCTTTTTATAGAGAAATGTGGATATAACTGGAATTAGAGAGAAAGATGGGGGGTGGCAGTTGGGATTTAGCAAAGTTAGGGATGCCCTAGGGTTTCTAATTGATGGCTAAGATGGTTTTGGCGATGATCCTATGGCTGAAAATAAAAGGAGAGGGCGCCCAATATTATGTAGGGCTAAGATTTGGGCACCTAGAAATTGAGGCTATAGATTAGAACATCTAGGGTTGAAGGGTTAAGATTAAAAGAATAGGTGGTGCCCTACATTGAATGGTTGGGATATAAGATGGAGGGAGTGGCTGAGATTTGGAGGTGAGGGGCTGAATGTTGAGGATTAGTAGAATAGGTGGCGCCCTAGGGTTTAAAAGCTATAAAGGAGAAACCTAAAATGAGTGGTTGAGATAAAAAGAGGTGGATGGTGGAAATTAAACACCTAGGGGCGGCTAGGGTTTGCTAAGAGAAAAGATTAGGTTAAAAAGGCTCCCTAGGGTTTGCTAGGGAGAGGGGAGCATGGTAATACAATAGAATGGGCGCCAACTGGGTTTAGTAGATAAGAGGCGCCCTCCTGTTCTCAGTTCTTTACAAAAATACCCCCTCTTTCAACTGGTCTTCACCCCAGCTTCCCAAAAACTGCACTTCAGCCTAAAAAACTTCCCAGTTTTCTACATAATTTGCATAGAGACCCTTCGATGTCACATAATTGATTTTAACTAGGAAAATGACACATTTTGACCATTTTAAGGCCAAAAATACCCCTAAATTGATGCCCTTAAGGCATCAAAATGCAGAGTTATCATTGTCTGATTGGAGTATTTTAATTTTGGGTAACTTTTTGAGATTTACACAGCGCGTTCTGTGCACCCATCGGTGCATTGGACGAGTGCACCCGCAAATGGTGTATCAACACGTCAACCAGGTTAATGTTAACATGCGTTTAAGCGTTAACGTGATCTGATCCGATTCACACGGAAACGAACCGGTCGAGTACCCAAGCAAAAAGCCCCTTTTTCTAGTCTTTCTTTGATTCTTCTTCCAATTCTTTCTTCCATTTCTCTCCACCAAACCCTACCCATACAACAAACCCTTGTCCATCGGTGGCGACAGAGCTCTAGCAGCAACATATCATTCTTCTCTTCTTCTTCAACTCTCTATTCTTCTTCTTCTTCTTCTTCTTCTTCTTCTTCTTCGGTGGTAGTTCCGATTTGAAGGACGAACAGGTATGGTCATTGATTTCTCTTCCATGTTATTTTCTTTTATGTTGCTCAAATATGCATTAGGTAAAACCGAACCCAAATAGGCATATTACTTCTCCAAGATGAAATGGCTGAATTGAAAAGCTTATTATCTACAAAATGGTTCTTTCACAAGTTTCAAATGGAATGAACTAAACTAGTAGTCCCTTAAAGGGATTTTTGCAACATTCGGCCCCGTGCACACAATTTCAAATATCATCAAACCCTCTAAATGTGCTAACATGTGATGCATGATTCTAAAGACTTCAGAGTTGTTGATTGGAATTAGTTGTGTAATTTCGTTGGAATGTTTCAGGTGCTTTATGACCCAATCAACTTTAATTCGTGAGGGTTAGCCTTGGGGTTCACATGCCAAATTACAAGTTTCTATTTTGAATCTTGGTTTCAGATAGAGATAGAACAAAAGAGAAGAAAAGGAAAGAGAGAAGACAAGATGTGTCTCGAACAGAGCAAAAATCAGCCCATCAAATGAACTGATTCACTTGAACAAAAGAACAAGAGAGGGTATAAAGAACTACCTTCATAGAGTAGCTAACCAATATACTTAATATCAATCGACACAAATACCTTTCTGTATGTTTGAGAATTTGTAGGACTAGGATTTTTCTATATGTCTCTATGTGTATGATTTTCTTTAAATAAAAAATCATATATAAATAAGAGAATTTATAGTCATAGGATTTATTTTTATGTCTCTATATGTCACTATTTGGTAAGGAAAAATTCTGTCGATTTTTGTTTATATCCAAAGATGTTCTTACAACTTTATGCAAATTCCCCAATTTTTTTCTACCAACAAGAATATGCTACACTCAATAGTTCTTTAGATCTTCAACAATCCTTAAACTTGTGACATTTTAGACTTGAAGAATCCCCAAGTATTATCGTACATTTGGATTATAATTCTTTTTATACTATTGTGCAAAGGTATGAGTTTTCAGTCCACATGTGATCATTCATCGTATAAGGACTTGAAATATAGTCCAATGTTTTGTGATTGTTGAAGGAGCTGCGCAATTCGAATATCAAAAACACCTCAAAATTGGTACAAATTATTTTACACTTGTCCTGGAAAAGTCGTTAGTGAAATAACACATTTTCATATTCTATGTATGTTAATAATGACAATTGAAAGATTTGATGACTAGTATGTTGTGTCTATGCAGACAAACAAATCAGATGGCAAGCATTGTGATTATATTGTGTGGGCAATTCCCAAAGGGCTTGATGATGATGACATTTCAAACATGCATAATCAAGATCTAAAAAGCCGAATTGATGAGCGTGACAAGTTAGTGGCTAATATGGATAGTCACTTGAAGATACTGGAATCATTGTTATCTTCCCACCAAATACATACTAAAGGGATGAAGACGACACTTTTTTTAATTATTATTTTTATGATTAGGTTTATTTTAGTGTATATGCATAAGAATTAATCCCAACATAACCTCCAACCCCCTACTCATGAACCATTAATGGCCTATGTTAAACAATTTTTAGTTTTTGATTTGGAGTACTAATGTGGATTGATAGCAGCAAAATATTTAGTTGTTTATACTAATGTTCTTTGCACCATAGGACCAGCAAAATATTTAGTTGTTTGCACCAGCAAAATATTTAGTCCTTAATCAATTTAGGACCGGGACCACCCTACCCCAACCCCTACCAGTTCCCATCTTTGCAAGTTATCTATTCTCTGTTGCCCGTTCCATCACATATAGCAAGCCCTCCAGCCTATAATAGACTTTTTTCATTTAGAATTTGTGGATCAATTCACTTCACGTTGTACACACTTTCTTAAACTTGGACTAAGATCTCTGTTAAGGCCAGTTCTCAGGATACGGTCGAGGTTGGGTTCAAAGGACCAAGCAAAGAACTAAGCAAGCTCCCAGGGTCTAGTTCGGCCACAAATTGTGACAAACACCAAAAGAACCAGTCATATAAATATTTGGAGCCCAAAATTAGCTTATGTGTGTATACCAAAACGATAATGATTATAACCCAATGCACTACTACCATGGGGTAGTGTGGATAAAAATGACTTTACTTCCTAATGGCACTTGAATCGATAATGTCATCTACTCTTGCAAAATTGAGTGCTCACCACTTACCAATTCGATTGTTCAAGTAATGAAAGATAGTTGCATTACAAGAACTCCCAAAATTGCCTCTTTTCTCATTTCTTAACAGGAAAGGGTTTCTCTTTTTTTTATGAGAATTTTTTCTTTCAAATACAACCGCAATGGAATCATACCAGCCAAGGTCCCATAAGAATTTACTATAAACCAACAAAAACGCACATTGATTGCACATTTCATTGTGACCCATATCCAGCTTAGACACCAACAAAAGCAAGCTGAATATAAGTTTACTGCAAGTGCAAAGTGAAAAACATGATGAAAAGTAGACAATTCTTAAAATGTGGCATTGATAGGAAGTGTTAACAATAGTATCAACAGATCTAGAGCTATTCAAACTTTCAAATTCACTTAATATGTCAACTTGTCAAGACATTGACATCCAACATTCTCTTCTTGTTTCTTCACTACAAGAACATGACACTTATAATTATGAATGATGAACACACTAGCAGCTCACGCTCCCTAAGAAAGCCATACTTCAACAAACATTCCAAATAAGAATTTAACATAAATGAATATTTCAAAGAAGAAATAAACTAAATCCATTTTGGACTTTGTTGCAAGACTAAGACCCAAAAACTTGTTTACAAAAGAATAGGTAGGATTATTCTTTTTTTTATCAATAGAACAAGTAGGATTATTCTTTTTTTATCAATACAACATGTATGATTATTCGTTTTCACATAGTAGGATTTTTGCCTAGAATTTTTCTAACTTAAAACACCATAGTACCAAAGCTGGTCCAAGAAACACTGTCAGCTGACTTGATGTTTGTGTTTTTATCATTATTGAGTAATTGTTGGTGTCTTAGGTTCATCATTTCTCTTGCTTCATAATTTTTAAGGATCAACACCAATGTTTTGAAATGTGGTAGCACGATGTGAGGCACTAGAGTCTTCTGATATATGAGGTGTAGGTGGTGAGATGTAAGACAAAGTAGTATAGCCTTCTCACAAATTCTTCAAGATTTTTAGGAAGCTCTTGATACAAATTAGAGTTAAAACAAACATGGAAATATTAGAAATGATATTTAACTAGTTTTTATGATGAGTTTCAGAAAATCAGTCCTATCCAAAGAGATCACTTTTGAATGATATACATTTTGAGAAAGTTAATAGTTTACTGGTCAATTATAGATTTGGGTTAGAACTCTTTTCTGAATTTGGATTTCTCTTAGATCTTAAGTTATTGTTTTATTTGTTACAAATGGTTGTTATTTAAACACCCTTGGTGATTATTAATGTGTAAGCAACCATTTTATCAATGATTATTGCAGTGGTAAAATATTAGGCCCACAAGCATCAGTGTACAAGTCTAAGTCTGAGAACAATCACTTTATACAAAAATGATGAAGGTTAATTAAGTCCATATCTAGTCTACCCTTACCAAGTTTAGATAGCTAGGACCAAATAAATTGGGTAATGGTCCTTTGGAGTTACTAAGTGGAGCTATATTCTTTCAATTCATATGGTTTGAAACCATAAATGCAATTAGTGATCCATAGATAACTAGTGATGGAGATAGGAAGAGGGAATCTCAATATAAATTCCAATAGTGTATATTTTTTTGAAAAAATAAATGCCAAAATCTTTGAAAAAAATGAATCAAGTAACAATTTGTTTAAAAAAAGTGCACTCACCAGCATGGTCTTATTGCCTATCTTGAGATGTTGGTTGGTATCCTCCAACTAAATTTGTGCCAAAACACTAGTTTTGTGAATCTATAACATTTCCCTACAACAAATAAGAAAATGTTGAATAATTTGAAAAAAAAAAACGCATTTTATCTTCACAACTTTTATATTTAACTCCATGCATACCTGGCTTGTTTGTTGTTGAAATGTGCCTGAAGCATGTAGCAATCCCATCATGCAGATGGGGTTATGAGATGCAAACTGATTAAGATCTAGGGTATGTGTCAATCCAATGGTGTCAATATTCGTTGCATATGGTTGACATGTTGTATCTAACTGAATCATGCTTGGACCAACACCATATGATTCCTACCATATGAGAAATGACATATGCATAAATAAATAAACTACAACCAAAAAAATATATTAGTAAAGATAGCTACATAATACATATGTGAGCTAGGATAATATCAAAGTAAGATGTATTGAAGGCAGAGTTTCAACTATCGAAGTAGCTGGATTTTGTGGTTGCAATCGGGATTATTTTTTTTTACTTTTCTTTTTTTTCTCAAATGGCTACTTTATTCTGCCACCACTACGACTAGTCTTGCCACTACCACGACTAGTCTTGTCACTCTTGGGATTCTTTGCAAATCCTGCCACCTTGTGTGTGAGATCATGACTGTTATGCAATATGGATTCTATCAGTGTCCCCTTCCTTTTGTGAATTAACAGCATCACCTAGCTAACAAGATCCTAGTTGATTGTCATATTGTAAATATACAACCAAATCATCTTCGACATTAAGAGAATGACTAGTCTGTGCATTAGCTGAAACATCCGCTTTTATTATTTTCTCAACTCCATTACGAATCTTTTCAAACATCTTCAATGCAAAGTGGTAAGCTTTTTCATTTTTTGCAGTTCGATAGGATATGTCTCGTGAAACCCTCACCATTTCAATTGCCCTCATAGTATATCCACGGTTAGGATCAAGATTAATTGCACAACCATGATAGTCTATTGCAGTCTCATCTTTTGCCTCCCTTGTCCATCATTTTAAGATGTACCGGGATGGAATATGCATTACCCTATTTTCATAAAGCACCTTCAGTGCATGACCACAAAGCAGCCTCGTGAACTCAAAATTTATACAACTACATGAAACTGATAAATCGAATGATGAAAATAATACATCATGCACCTTTTTTTTTCATACATGCTTATAGAAGTCTTGACCCCTTCATCAACCTCAATTTTGTTGTCTACAATGGGGGTATAAACCATAGCAACTTGTTCAAGAATTAGTAACTATATGCTCAAATGGGGATTTTTATGAATCACCTTGAAATCCATTTCTAATTCCTTTTGGCGTCTATCTCTCACAACCCTTTCAAAGTCTTCCAAGAATCGAGATATATTCAGTGCTGATTTCAAATAACCCCTCAACAAACTATTCATGCTTTCACTCCTTTAAGTGCTCTTCATGTTACTAGCAAAGTAGTTTCTCCCATAAACTAATGTCCACTTCTTTTTCACTTCAAATAACCCTTTCAACCATGTATTTTCTTTCAAACCATATTGACAAAGCATTTCTTCCCACACCTTTAGAAATTCATCCTCTGCTTCGTAGTCATATATCAAATTTCTGAAATCTTTCTCGAATGTCTTGGAAAAACGAAATACATGGGACAAGTGTTTAATCCCATTCTGATAAATGTGCTAAATATAGAAGCGATGATTAACTTCCAGGAAAACATATTGAATGGCCTTTTCCATTGCTGCACATTGATCCGTTAAGATTGTTATTGGTTTTTTGCCACCCATTGCATTCAAGAATGCTTTAAAAACCCACTTAAATGATTCACTAGTCTCATTATACATTAATGCAGCACCAAATATTACTGTTTGCCTATGGTGATTAATACCAACAAACGATGCAAATGGCCGATGATCCCGATTGGCTCTAAAGATGGTATCAAAGAAAATTACATCACCAAAAAAATGATAATCAGCTACCATTTTTGCATCAGCCCAAAAGACATTTGTAATATGATCTTTAGAATCAAAGTTGCATGGAGTGGAATGATGAGGAGTTCTCCATCTGCAACTTTTCAAAAAATTTTAAAATGGCTCTTGCACCTCCCATTTCCATATCTTTTTGCCTCTTTGTCTGTAGATAATTGCAATAATCAAAATGAGTGAATCCCAAATTCTCAACACCTTCAACTTGATTGGCCATATACTCCATAGTGGCTTTTAGTGTTATCCCTGACTTGTCTGCAAGAATATCCTGAGAAGTTTGGACCACTGTCCTTTTCCTATGTAACCTTAACATGTAAGTCTTGCTTGGAGTTACAACCTCGTGATTGTGTTGCTTCTCAAAATGGATAATGCTATATTGACCACTTTCTTTCAATCCAACAAGCATGTGTGCTTGGCATCCAGTTCTTGTACTGTCACGATAGTATTTCACATTATCTCGTGGTTTGAGGTTGCGAAAACCTTGGGCAAAACAACAAAATGTCTTGTCTTTTATTACCCCACTCCTTGTTTTGCGTTCCTTGCCCTTCCAAGTGCTAAACCCCACTCTTCTAGCATATTCATTGTAAAAACAATAAGCATCATCCAAGTTTTCAAACATCATTCCCAACCTTAGTTCTTCTATTGTTTTGTCTACATCCTCATCATTTACATCATCTAACACTAAGTTACGTGCAACATAGTAATCAATATCTGAAAGAATTTCATCTTCATTGTGAAGCCTACTACAATCTTCAACTTGAGTATCCATTCTAAGAATTCTAAAAGGATGAGGAAAATTATATAAGATGACATAATTAATCATTCACATCAGGTAAAAACAAATCTACAAAAACAAGAGAAAGTTGAGGAGGAAAATTATATAAGATGACAGAATTAATCATTCACATCAAGTAAAAACAAATATACAAAAACAAGAGAAAACTGTCTATGAAGGGTTGGTTAATCCATTGTAAACTGACCAAATAGTTATTTTATATTTTAGCATGTTATGTTTGAATATTCTCTTTTCATTAATTAAATCTTTTGGATACCATTTTTTTTTTACTTTGAACTACATGTCTTTGCAACCAAAAGAAAATAGAAACCTGAGGCTCCAAATTATGCATCAACAACTGCTAATGGTAGAGTTGACCATAGTAATGGTGAACCTGCTGTAAGTTATATTAGTTTCTCTTTATTCAAAATGATTTTTCCTACTAAACAAGACATCCAACCTGTAATGAGTTGTTTGCATCAGTTTTATATATTAGGGGGCTTAGGTCTATCTTTTAGTTAACTACTTTTGTAGCTCTTGTTGGTATCGACAGTCTATTGCTGTATAGGTCATTTGATCAGTTCATCAGTACAATTAAAGTTTCATTTAACTTTTAATAATATTAAAAAGTCAACCCCTTTAAGGGACTACTAGTTTAGTTCAATCCATTTGAAACTTGTGAAAGAACCATTTTGTAGATAATAAGCTTTTCAATTCAGCCATTTAAGATTGAAGAAGTAATATGCCTATCTAGGTTCGGTTTTACCTAATGCATATTTAAGCAACATAGAAGAAAATAACATGGAAGAGAAAGCAACGGTCATACTTGTTCGTCCTTTAGATCGAACCTACCACTGGAGAAGACTAAGAAGAAGAGAAGAAGAACAATAGATAGTTGAAGAAGAAGAAGAGAAGAACGATATGTCGCTACCGGAGCTCTATCACTGTCGATTTGTTGCTAGAGCTCTATCGTCGCTGATGGACAAGGGTTTGTTGTATGGGTAGGGTTTAGTGGAGAGAAATGGAAGAAAGAATTTGAAGAAGAAACGAAGAAAGACTAGAAAAATGGCTTTTTTGCTTGGGTACTTGACCGGTTCGTGTTCACGCAAACCAGTTCATTTCCATATGAACTGAATTAAACCTCGTTAATGCTCTAACATGCGTTAACGTTAGCCTGGTCGACGTGTCGATACGCCATTCACGGTGCACTTGTCTGGTGCACCCACAGGTGCACAGAATGCGCTCTCGTTCCAAGGCGCCACCTTACTAATTTTTGCCAAAAAGAATCCTTTTCTTAGCTAGAAAATTCTTAAAATTTTATTTATAAAAATTTAAAAAGTGAAATAAAATATAAATTAAAACCATATATATACATATTTTCTTTCATAAATAAGATTTTATTAAAAATAAATATAAGGTAAAAGACTTAAACATATCTAAGCCTTCATAAATTTATTTAAACATACACTTAGTTTTTCAATTAGCCTTAAATATACTTTATGTGCTGACTCCATTGGTCTTAAACATACTCTCTATTAACATTATTTGACCCGTTTAAACTTTTGAAACCCCCTTTTTGCCCCTCTATAAGTCTATGCCCTATTTTCTTCCAACCTAGATGTGCTATGAGCATGTTACAACAATGACGATAAGTGGAAGAACAATCAACGCACTGATATGGTGATTAAGATTTTTTTTCAAATAATCATTAACTCATTCCAAGTTCACACTAATGTGGTGATACAAATTTTCTCTCAAGGAGTTATCTAAGAGGGAGATTAGATATCAAAGGGCTTCACTTAGAGGTCAGTGGATATCTATTTTTGCAATGGAGGACACCATAGTCACAATGAAATCACATGTTCCAGAAGGTAGAGGAAAAGGAAATGGTGATGGTCATCATTCTTTCTTAGATGCCCTACCTCAACTTCATGCAAAACTGCAATCACACTCCACCCACCAAAGTACAAAGATTTTGTGTTTTCTATGGAGTTGAGAACATTGTCACTTCCAAATATTTATAACATTCATTTCATAACATTTTGAAGATATCAAGTATAAAAAGGATCAATCAAAAGGCTCAAACTCAACAAAATGGATAATTTGATTATGAATATGAAATATGGATTATGATTATTTTGCAACAAGACCAATTGAGAAAACAGAGAGAATGAATTCTCTTAAGTTGGTAATGTCCAAAATAATAAGAAGCTGGGATTGTTAAAAACCATACAACTATTGCAAACTTGGGCAAGTGAAGGAGAGGCAAAACTTATTACAGTGGTTGCATGTCTCAAGGCTTCATTACCTAAAAAGGAGGTCTCTTATCTAATTTCCTTCTTGAGCACTCGATTCGGTTTTTTGCTCACCAACATAGAGTGGAATTATTTGAGATTGAGGTTTGACTGTTGCGATCACACAAACAACATAAACAAGCATGTCATAGCTGGTACAAACAAATAGAGAGCAAGGAAATGTAATATGAAAATTAAAAGAGGAAAGATGATATGGGTTAGCTAGACATGGTGCATCAATTTTCTACCATGCTTTGGCTTTACTAGTTTGGGATTGGCTTTAAATTTCTTTCAAGGAATTATCAACTCATTCTCAGTTCAACTAATATGGTAATACAAAGATTTTTTTTTTAAACTCTATAACGGTCTCTTTTATATTACGCATGGCTTCTTGTGTTTATGTCAATAAAATATCAGATTGAGTTAATAAGTTACATAGCTTCTAGAGACACATGCGAAAGAGAAAGTCCTAAGGTCTATCCCAAAGAGAAATCTATAATGCTTAAGTTAATAAGTATGTAAGGGGTCATCAGACTAAGTAGAAGAGGCTAGGTCGATCATGAAAGCAAGAGGATGAGGTGAGGGCAACAAGAGGGCTATGATGTGTGTACCTTTTTTTGGGAATGCCTTAATTTATTTATGGAAGAGATATTGTGCTCATTGAGGTGTCCTAATTCTATTAGGAGATGGTTGTTGGACATGGCCCAAACTTCTCGATGAAACCCTTACTAGAATTCAGATGCACTGGAGATGTTTAGGCAAATTGGTTGGTTGGGTAGGTTGGCTGGGCTAAGTCAGGTCATCGACAAGTTCCTTGAGCATTCTATTATGGGACATGCGTCACTTTGGGATTAGACTATACAGATTGGCCCACGATTATAATAAGATTTCATCTTCATGTGATGTGTGTGGTTTGTTAAGTAAAACTGAGATAAAAGGAATGCTCTAATGTTTCATAGGCTCAATTTGGAAAGAGTACAAATACAAATATGCATGTAGAGTGCAAAACCTTGTATTTTGCAATGTGTTTTTATGTATTTGCATTGTGCATATTTGTATTTGTGCTATTTCCAAAATGAGACAGTTTTTTATGTTTAGGAGACTAGTAAGTGTGCATGTGCTTTGCATGTGGTAATTCTAAATGATAATGATAGTAATAATGTATTCAAATTTTTCTATAAACTTTATGTATTTCTTATTTTTTGTTTTTTATTATTAATTGGATGCGGATTGAAAATCCAAATCTGATTACATAAACACCTCATCCAAATATGTGATAATCGGATCGAGTTGTGAAGTTTCAAGTATCATTGATAAGCCTAATTGCTTGGCTAGATTCTTCTTTTTATAATATTTAATTTTTGGTGTATCTTTTTTTTTCATTTATCAAAAAAAATATAGATTTAAATAGAAGGAATTGAATTAGATGAAAAGTAGTAGTTTGATTTACAAATTAAACCTCATAATTAAATAGAGACTAAATTAAGAAATGAGTATTTTAGTAAAAAGAAAGTTCCACAATCTTATTCATATTTTTAATAGTAGTGTAAATATAGAATTAATGTTTTAAAACCGACCAGAGGCCGAACCGTTTTTGCCTCCGAGTCGCAGGTCATCATCTGGGTCAAACAGATCAGGCCGCCCCACATGTATTTAAGGTATATATGTTTATATACATACATACATACATACATACATACATACATACATACATACATACATACATACATACATACATACATACATACATACATACATAATATGTGTGTAAATATATATTTTATCAATAAATAATGTATAATTATGTTTTAGATATGTTATATGTATTTTTATATTTAATTTATGTTTCTTTAATTCAATTTTTTATTTTTTTACTTGTAAAAATATTAAAAATTGCAATTTGAGGCCAAAAAAGGGGTTTTCGCAAAAATAACGGGATGGCACCTTGGGACGAATAGACCTCGAAAAGTTACCCAAAAAAAAATAAATAAATCACCCCAATCAGACATCGGAGTGTAAAATTATGGCCTCAGAAAGTTTGCAAGTATTGGGTGTGCAACCCGTAACTTGATGACCAGGTCGAATTGGTCAACGATTGAACTGACTAAGCCAAACGGTTCTTGATCAAGTCAATAGATTTTGACCATCTAATAGGTTTTGACTGAACTGGACCCGGAATCCTGATCGGGTGACGATTCGAATGATTCAACCGACTGGATCAATGGTGGGTTGAAAACATTGTATAGAATTATAGATGTATTCAATTTTTTTTTATCTTTTTTTTTGTATTTTTGTGTGAAAATAATTCTAATATGTCACACTTACTTTTTGTTTAATATGACAAATATATGATATTATACATGTGTCTAAATGTTTTTTGCAAAATTTATGGATTTTTATATTTTATTAACTTTTATTATTTATTTATGACATTAAAGGTTAACATGTTTGACCCAAAATTTGAACTATTGATCTTTTCCAAACAATAAAATAATTTCATTTTTGGTTAGTTCTAAATTATGTATTTCATTTCCATTACCAATAAAAATAATTCTTGTTTATTACACTTATTTTTTTAATATGATTAATAAAAATATCATTAATTTCTATTTTAAAATTTTTATTACCTAACTATGTCATCATAGGTTGATCAATTAATTTGATTTGGATGGTTGAATTGCTTAGCCACCACTTGGATTA